TACCTTGAATGCAACTTAAGTTGCTTTGAAGAAAAGCATCTGCCAAATCCATAAATGTAAATATATTTGGACATGTAAATCTTGCTTTCAAAGCTATAGGGCATCAGAAATCATTGGAACAAGACTCTTACTTTTTCGCTACTATGAGGCTGTGATAGAGGGGCTTCACAATAATGTGCAGGTAAAGCGAGCTGTCAATGAGGTACTCGGATGCTCTACGCTGCAGGCCCGCTTCCAACAGGAAGTCTCCCGCTTCCTCCGTACTCTGGTGGAAGTTGTAGACATGACGGACCACCACCTTCCCCTGCTTCCGGGCTGAAACGATGACAGTCTTTTGAAAGCTGATGCCAGCAAAGTCTGGGCTTGAGGTGGCCGGTGTGATGATGATCCGTGGACGCCCTCCATCGGTACGAGTGGGCTGCAAGGATCCCTGCTCTGGATAAGCAGATCGTATGCTTAGAGGAAGCCAGCGGGGTGAGAAAAGAGCGTTCCAGGTCACGCGTTTGCTGGCGTCGTAGCCGCTTGGTCCAAGTTGAGTCTGAAAACTGAAGCTGCGGTCATCCCGCGTTGGGTTGTTAATCACCCACGGGGAGCCCCATGCTTGTGACAGGTAGTTACGTGGCGTAAAGAGGCTGCAGTTTACGTCAAAGTACTTTGCGAGCTGGATGGGTGAGGCTGCGTGGAACTGGAAGGCTAGGAAGAGCAGATCACGTACCGATTCATAATATTTCAACATCACAGACGACTTCTTCTGTAGGTGGAACAAGTGTTGAGGTGATATCATGGCGTAACGTATTGCTTTAAGGGCGCTCTTGGCCGTCTCAACTGAGGGCTGGTTCTGGTTGATCCAGGCTTCCAGAGCTTCGTACAGCTCCAGTTCACTCTGCAGAATCAGGTCTGAACGCTGCAGCAAAGTAAGCAGTAGTTCTTCGCTCACTGAGCTCCATTCGGCGCTCTGTAGAACCGATGACAGGTTCCAGGACAGGTACTGCAGGCAGCTGTTCTGCAGGGTCACATCCCCAATCTGTGTGGCGTATTGGTACCAGCTCACCACATGACCCGTGAGTGAGTCGCTGGACAGGTGCTGGGTCATGTATTGGGTGAGGCCCTGTTGGAGGTCCCACACGTGGTACTTGCTGGCGAGCTTGTGTAGAGGAATGGCCTGGTTCAGACGCACCGTGATGTCACCACAATATAAGTACCTGCAGGGAAAGAGGTCGGGTTGGAAAAAAATCAACCTTTGATTTCCCTGAAACTTTATCTCCATAGCCTGTGAAGAATGATAATGCTACACTAAATGGTGCACTAACAGCGTTTTTCTCTGTTCATCATCAATTTATTTATCTGTCAAAATGCGAGGTCTAGTTGTAGGTTAAAACCTGGAGATATTCATGCATCACTATTGTGGCCTTGAGACTGTCCCTGTATTAACAGTACTTTGGTTGCAATAGTTTTAAGTCTATACAATAGAAAATATATATAATAAAAAATGGAAAATATAAATAAAATGAATGTTTGGTTGAAGAGCTACAACATCGAATACATACACACACATATATATATATATAAACATTTTATTTAAAATCTACAATATTAAATAAAAAAGTAAGTTTTCAGTTAAACATTTTTTGTTAACAATCTACAATATCAAATACAAACAGTAATAACAAATTAAATAAAGTTTTATTGACAATCTACAATATAAAATTAAAAATGTAAAAAATAAAAACCTATTTATTAATACACATTGCCTATTGTTTACGAGCCATTATCATTTTAAATTAATCTTTTGCTCCAGTACTTCAAAATACAACTCAAAAAGAGAAAGTGAATCTAACAAAATGAGATTATTACAAGCAATACATTACTGTCTACCAAAGTCAACTAAAAGTCAAAAAAGATTATGTCATAGACTTTTTCCTAGAAAACCCAGTTGGTTGCTCCCAGTTAGTGGAGTGTTGTGGTTTATTGATTATAGATTTAGGCTGGTAACTGTAAGGTTGTAGGTTCAAGGGTAATTAGCCATCACCTCAATCCTAGGTTATTCACTGGGGGTTGTGCTTATAATAAGTGTTTTATAAATCGCTTTAAATAAAAATGTTCAATATGACCAATTAGTAATGAATCACTCACCTAATGAACTTGTCAAAGACAGCTGCACAGTCCGGCGACTCTCTGAGGACCATCGCAGTGGAGTTACGGGTCTGTAGGAGCTCATCAAACACGTCGCTCTGTAGAGTCAACACCAGTGAATGGACCTGGATCACCTTCACCTCGTCCATGTTTAACGTCTGGACACGCAGGGTCACGTCGCTGCCGTTTCCCTGGGTCAGCAGGGCCTCCATGCGCTGCACCAGCTCCATTGAATGGTTCAGTGTGGTAGCACTGTTCTCCAACACCACATCTGACTTTAATGCAGCTGCAGGACAGAAACGGGAGATTTGTGAGCAGAATCGATTAAGAAAGATGGCTTTTTAATATTTCACAACTTCAGAAGAGTGACAAACAATTTTTATGCATTGAAAAAACAAGAACAATGAGTATTATGAGTAGTTTAGATGTTCTTGCATGCATTTGCACTGCATATTTTATCAGTTATTGAATAATGTATGAACATAATCGTTCAAATAATTGTAGCCATTCTTGCTTGTATGCAAGGCCGTCCTTAGCTGGCCTGGTGCGGGGCCCCCCTCGGTCCGTTCGCCGCGGGACCCAGTGAGACTGCACCAGTTGCACCCCCCTAAGGACGGCCCTGCTTTTAGGTCATCTATGTAGTTGGAACCAGTGTTATGAATGCAAAACACACCCAAAAATTGTTCTTTCTGGCACTTGACTGCAAATTTTCCTTTTTCCAAGCAATCATTGCGACTCATTCACTCACACCTGACAGTTTGAGCAGTTCACTCATTTGAAAGCTTTTGCATTTCCTGTGAAGATGGTGACTTGTATTATAAAATGAACATCGCAACATTGTCTATATAAACAAATACTTTAGCTATTTAGATTTGTATGTGAAATGAATCATGTTTGTAATCTATATTAGATATATCATTGTGCTTTTGTGCAAATTATGCAACTACTGTATAGAAAATGACAAAATAAAGTCCTAATCATATTACAGATGGTTAAATAAAAACGATTGGAAAAACCTCACAACATACAAAAATATATGGCTATTCTAGCAACTACTAAAAAAAATCTATGATCTTACCTCCTACACAAAGTGCAACACAAAGGTTGGCCAGACAGCTCACGGCAGGGACGCTTGCTCCGGAGTTCACCATCTCTCGTCCTGTATTAATGTCGTCCTTCCTTGCCTTTTTTTTCACTCCAGCCTCTCTCTCTCTCTCTCTGTGTGTGCACTGCCCAGTCTCCCTGTCCCACACTCTTTATGTAGGACGTTGGCACATCGCTGAGCATCTCTCAGCCTCACGAAGCCCATTGATTGGTGGAATCTGGCTGGGCCGTTGCCATGACGACCGCTTTGATTGTGAGTTTCTCCTCTTTCAGTGTTACATGATATCGACCTGTGGCACTGGGCCGCATGTTTGGACTTAAGTGGGCGTCTGGAGTGGGATACGGTCTACACATGGGTGCTATTGCTACTGTATTAGCTCAAATAAAGGAAAAGAATACACTGGAAGATAAATATCATTGCGCATCCTTGCACAATGTTGGATTCCTTATCTATTTAGTAACATCTTAAAACAAACGCATTCACATATCACTGATTGTGTGAATAAATACCCAGTCTACAAAACATATCCACTCGAAAATTTAATGGGAAAGCATGAAAGGGAAATAAAATTTACAAAATTGTACTACAAACGAAAATAATGTAAAAAAAAAAAATGTGTTGTGTATATATATATATATATACAGTGGGTACGGTTATGGAGAAATCACTCAATTTTAGCATATTAGTAATTCGTCATGCTACTGATTTTTAGTTTGTTGGTTGTTTTTTTGAAGGTTTGCAGAATCGTCTGAGGAGTCTGGAGGACATGATGAAGATGAAAGAGGATAAACTGCGCGTCCGTTTCCGTGACACCTACACCGCCCTCAAGTGGCTGAGGGATAACCGTGATCGTTTCAAAGGCAACGTCTATGATCCCATGATGCTGGTGGTGAGAGCACAGCTGCTAATTCAGGTGCTGTTTCTTGGAGATGGGTGTTCAAGCAGATCGGTTTGATCTTCTCTCCCTTTGCTGCCAGATTAATGTCCGTGATGCTCGGCACGCACTGTATTAATGTCGTCCTTCCTTGCCTTTTTTTCACTCCAGCCTCTCTCTCTCTCTCTGTGTGTGTGCACTGCCCAGTCTCCCTGTCCCACACTCTTTATGTAGGACGTTGGCACATCGCTGAGCATCTCTCAGCCTCACGAAGCCCATTGATTGGTGGAATCTGGCTGGGCCGTTGCCATGACGACCGCTTTGATTGTGAGTTTCTCCTCTTTCAGTGTTACATGATATCGATCTGTGGCACTGGGCCGCATGTTTGGACTTAAGTGGGCGTCTGGAGTGGGATGCGGTCTACACATGGGTGCTATTGCTACTGTATTAGCTCAAATAAAGGAAAAGAATACACTGGAAGATAAATATCATTGCGCATCCTTGCACAATGTTGGATTCCTTATCTATTTAGTAACATCTTAAAACAAACGCATTCACATATCACTGATTGTGTGAATAAATACCCAGTCTACAAAACATATCCACTCGAAAATTTAATGGGAAAGCATGAAAGGGAAATAAAATTTACAAAATTGTACTACAAACGAAAATAATGTAAAAAAAAAAAATGTGTTGTGTATATATATATATATATATATTTTTTTCTGTTATGGAGAAATCACTCAATTTTAGCATATTAGTAATTCGTCATGCTACTGATTTTTAGTTTGTTGGTTGTTTTTTTGAAGGTTTGCAGAATCGTCTGAGGAGTCTGGAGGACATGATGAAGATGAAATGATGAAAGCCGTGATTTGAAAGCCGTGAGCCACAGTTTCAGGTATCATTCTGTAGCATAAAAGGTGCAGGATGAGAATAAATGGCTAAATTTATATAACACCACCAGATAATTCTTTCGTTTTCAAATATCAATATTTTACTTGAGTCATTTTGAGTATTAAGGGACCAAATGCATGTGAACTCACTGTGCATTATTTAAAAGTGTGAACTACTTTATTTGTTTGCCTTATACACAGTCCTGCTACATCCACTTGTAAATATTTTAGCACAAAATCCATCAATATGGTATTGTTGGCCAGCAGAGGTAGCAAAATGTGTAGAAAAATGAAATATACACATAGATATAATACAATACTATATAATACAAATAGCAGCGCATCATGTGGAGGTCATGGCAGCCTTGTCCTGCTCTTGTTTGTCTCTCTGCTTCTGCTTCATCTGTCTGTACAGCTGCACCACTCTCTCTCGCTCTTCCTCCACAATCCTCTTCCTCGCCATAGAAGGTTTGATGAGTGACGCAGGACTGTGACCCAAGAGGGAGTTCAGGAGGAGGCCTTTGGTTGCCCCCTGGAGGAATGATCAGGATGATAGTAATGAACAAACAGCATTAATTAGCATCTCATAAAGGAGTGGATGCACTTAAAGAATTTACCTTGGGTTTGACTACGGCTTTCTTTGGTTTAACACTCAGTGATGGAGGCGCCATGGCAACCTCTCCAAACGGTACCTCATCTAAGAGGAAGAGAAATGATGGAATATGATTATGTTTTGCAATTTGATGCCGAATTTTACAGATTAAATCTAATAAAATTGATGCATGCCTTTGAACATCTCCTCCTCTTCATGTTCCGCTTGTTGGTTTAGCTTCTTTTTCTGTTGCTGAAGTTTCCTTTTATGTAGCCTAAAATAAAGACAAAGACACTTTAACACACTAGTGCAGCGTTAGAAATTAATACAGGCTTTATTTATAAAAAAACCTGCATAATTACTATATGCATTTGCACTAAAAAATTGGCTACAATTAATCTGATTAGCTTTAAATCATGAACATCAATGCATGTCGAACCAGTGTTATTTTTGTATCATTGATATACTATTATAGTTTTTGTATTATATTTTATTTTTATTGTTGTGTGTTTAAATTTGTGTTTTTGTCATTTTATTTTATTAAATTTTAGTATTATTTATTATTTTTTGTATTTATTTTATTATTTTAGTACTTCGACAACCTAAACAAAAAGGAAAAATGTTGCATTAGAAACTTGCTGAAATAAAAATATAATAAAATATAATAACAATTATTATAGAAATGTAAAAAATAATAAAAAAAAAAAATTATAATTATTTTAAGAAACTTTTTTTATGGGTTTAGTTTTAGTTAACAATAATAACCCTGTGTTGAACTAACCATTTCTTTTTAGTGGATTTCTTCTCCTCTGTGTCCTCTTCCTTCTTTAGCTTGACCTCCGGATGTCTCTGAACCTGGTTGTTCGTGAGGAAGAGGACATGCTCAGTCTCTTCGGTCATGCGGCGGACATAATTCTTCTCGGACTCTTTTCGCCCTCTGCGGAAGTGTGGGATAGGAATATCTCCTGAGAGCATCTTTGGCTTAGAGGCTAAAATAAGAAACATATATGAACATACAGCAAGAAGTCCCCTCCTCCGCTGCCCTTGCCACTAGCCGTGTCATTGTGCAGTTTTTGTGGGTCACTAGCTTGTCTGCAGACAAAACCCAGACAGCATGCGGCCCTCATAATCCACCTGTTTTCAAACTGTTAAACTACATGCAATTGTTTCAACAGAATCCCAGTAAATCCACACTCTCCTCAACAATAAATGGGTACCAATTACGTGGGTTGACAAAAATAAATATCTTATGAAAGTGAAAGATCAGACTTTTCAGTTTCAAAATAATCACTACTGGCCCTCCAGGAATTATGACAATAATTCATATTGACATATTATTGTTAACACATTCATTATCAATAACACCATTACCAATCGTCAAGGCTCGAGTCACACTTTTTAATAAATGACCTATATTTATTTTTTTTAAAAAAGAGAGAGCGAGGCTTTTTTTGTTCAAAATTAACTTTTATAAGTCAACTGCAGGAATTAACTTGAATATGAATCGTTTTTCATGTAAGTATGGGTCTGCTTTTATTGTGCGGTACAAACTGCAACACTTAAAAATTATTTTTTTACCTTCAGTAGCTTTTTTCCTCTTTTGGGAGCCCTGTTTCATCTTCTCTTTACTCTTCATGATTTCACGCAAGCGATGAGGAATCTGCTGGAGGTGGTCATCTGATGCAGGGTCAGCATTTTTCTTTGAATTCTTTTTACTAACAAAAGACAAGACACTTTACAATTAGATATCAACTTCAATCAACTGAGTAAACAAAAGCAATGTCTGAGCAATGCTAAATAGTGCAACTGTGAAGCAACAAAATGGTTTTCTGGAGCCTAGATTAAAAAAAATTATAATAATAAAATTAAATAACTAAATAAAAACTAACTTTCTTCTGTAAGTGTATAAGAAAAACCCACCATTCATTACTTAAAAAAATAGAATGCAGGATGAACAACATTTAAGAACTATATATTCAAGAGTCCCACAACCAAAACACATTTCCATGACTTTTACAGTCATTTCTGTTCATGAATACACTGTCTATGAAGATGGCATTTTCAGGTTTTCAAAACACATAGTGAATATTCCTAGATCTTCCTGTGGAGTTTAGGCCTTGTCATAAGAAATGACCAATTCTGAAGGATGCAAGGCTATAAGCACATCTCTAGGCATACCCTGCACTGACTTCACCATTTTCTGTCAATCTATATTACGTATATGGTTCAAATGAATTATTCTAGATTCTGGTTGTTAGTTTACTTCATCTTATTGATGTTTGTTTACCACTTGACAAGATTTCCAGACATATCCACAAACCTGTCCGAAACACCCTTATTGAAGACGTTTGAAGCCTCTGATTTACCTGACATGCTTCTCATTCTTCTGTTGTTTGAGCTGTTTTTCTGTCTTCATTGTGTACTTTTCAGTAAATAACGCTTCCTCCAGTGGACAGTAAACTCACGTGGCGTGGTTGTTCTGCTCGTCTTCCTCTACGCCGCGGAGATCAGCAGCACATCAGCGCGCTACTGCCGCTCACTGGCTGAGGAAGGAACTCGCACCGTCCGCGCGGGCTCTTCTTCCTCTTCTTTTTGGTGTTTAATGGCGGATGGCATACCACTTTTAGGTGCATTACCGCCACCTACTGATTAGGATCAGGACCGTAATCTTCACTAAATTCTATTATATAATGTCCTTTAAATAACGCATTAAAAATTGAACGTTTTTATCCCCTGATTTATTCCCCAAAACTGTCATCAAATTAAGTTTTGCTTTATTTTCCTTGAGGACATCAATCAGTATCTTTCTTTCCTTTCCGTATCTTGGACACTCTCTACATGTTATAACATGCTCTACATGTTCCTCCATATTACAATATTCACATTTTCCAGTTCCACGTCTCCCCATTCTCTTCAAACTGCTATTAAGAGCAGTATGGCCAAATCTAAGCCTTGAGATTATAGCTTCCTCGGGTCTATTTCTTCCTGTGACTCTGTACTTACCAACAATTCTTTGAATGCTATAAACCCATCTCCCTGTTCTTTCTTCTTCCCAATATTTCTGCCTTCTATTCTTCACATGTTGCTTGATTAAACACTTCATTTCACTCTTACCATACTTTATCTGCATATCTATGTCTACTTTCTTTGTTGCTTCCTTTGTATATTCATTCGTCTGCGAACTCATTTCCTTTTACTCCCACATGCGCTGGTACCCAACAGAAAGCTACAGAAATTCCCATCATCTGGATCCTATATATTGTTTGAAGAATCTCAATCATTGCATCTGCTCTGCTCTCTGAATGACATGTTTTAATTCTAATTAAAGATGAACTTGAATCAGAACATATGCGTGTCCGCGTTGGCTTATGTTCCTCCACCCATTGCAATGCCAGGAAAATTGCAATCATTTCACCAGTGTAAATTGACAAATTATCTGTGATTCTGGGATACTGAATGCCACACCTACTTTGTCTTCCATATTTTTCAATGCATCAGAATATATAACCATAACCATAATAATTTTCTTGAATGTACTTATGTGTTATTTGAGCATTTGATTTTAACTTATCCTTATTTTCCTCACTTAACAATGTCACATCTACCATAGGTTGAGAAATTAACCACAGCGGGATTGTTGACCATGGAATTGTAGGGCTTATTGGAGTTTCACCAATTTCCATTTCTTTTACCACTCTAGGCACTTCCCATCCAAAACTTTTGATTTCTTTCTTTCCTTTTTCCTAGAAAGCTTTTAGAACTACCCTAACTGGGTGATCTTGACTATGTCCTAATATACTGACCCAATTTCTTAGTGACAGTTCAATTCTTCTAAGATCTAAAGGCATTTCTCCCATTTCAATCTGCAAGGCTGCAGTTGGTGTAGATCTCATCGCCCCCGTACATAATCGCAATGCCTTGTACTGGATTTTGTCCACCTCTTTTAACAC